AATATCTGAAATATACATCCTTCAAATGCTTTCGTATTCAGCTTCTCATATCTACGTTATTAACAGGATATATCGATAAAATACATACGGAGTAAATGGAATATGTCTCCTTAACATCAATATCATTCGATAGTATATAGTCAGACGATGAGCCAAGACTTGAAATAATTTAGTAGTAGCGGTCTTTCTAAATCAGTTTTTATTTATTTCGAATTACTACAGATACACGAATTAGTTGAACAGATCAATCAAATGAAAGTACATCGCGAATTTTACTTGGAATTCAGCCGTGATCCACAGACCTTTATATCGCGCTGGTTAGCTAGTCAGTGTCGTGACTTTTGGGTGATGACCGATGCTACGCCGGGACATCCGGAGGAAGAGCGTCATGCTGAATTCTACAACGCTCACTGGACACAAGAAGCAGTAATGCGCTACTTCTACAACAGGGTAAGCCATTGTTATTCGTTTAGCTTAAGAAACAACAATATGCAATATCCCACAAACTGGTAGAGTTTTAGCGAGATTTATTTCTCCCTAACAGATATTACTCAACACTAATTGGTAAACGTCTTATGACTGCAGCAGCTATGCGTAGACCTCTTACTCTGTCCCTTTCTTTTGTAAAATGTGAAGTGTTCCCCATCGGCACAGTACTTCGTTGGACAAAATGCAACCTGTTCGGTAGTGGAGCTTCAGGGTAGTAGACACATGATCTGACACTAGATGTCTCAAATGCAGTTTTGTCCACTAGTGTTTCCATATCGTAAGCTACAGTGGTATCCACTCGCTGTTGTTTTTCTAGGCTAATTGGTAAAAACAGTCTGTTTATGCCCACCGTTGGGTTAGTGTAAGGTTTGTACGCGTGAACTTGGTGCTTGTCGTTGTATGGTCGCAGTAACAAGTCATCATTATATGTGCGGTGGCATAGAATACAAAAACCCTCACCATAGTGTTTTCCTGATTAGCTGACCCCATCTTCTAGAGGATAACATATTACGTTTACCAAGCGTATGTATTTCATGATTCATAGTGATCACTACTTACCAACACTAGATTTTTTTCAATTTGAAATAAAGCATCAGTTTGTATGGGTCCTTCTTCTTGAAACAATAAATATGGCGAATATTGAAGCCTTTGATATTCCAATTTATTCTCACAATTGGATAATAGGCTACGGAATTCCCGTCTGAACTTAGGACAGCAAACTCAAACTTCATGTATCTACAAAAGCCAACTTGGTAGTTCGTTTATGCCTTTCCGATGATGTTTTCATTCCCATACAAAACGAGTATTCGTTGAGATAAGGCTTAACTGCTGCTTTTGTTTCACAGATTTCCCAAAGACGACAGGACTTGGAACACGCACTGGGTCTTAACAACAATTGATGCTAAGGATTAGCTGTATTCCTGTGCATTTTAAACCAATATCAAAAGAAATGTGACCACTAGTTACTGACTTCCAATAAATATTCCGTTATTTGTTGTATATGTTTCTGTACTAATATATTTTAAAGCCTATAATATGTTATACTGTCAAGTGATAAGGACTTATCCTTCTTGGGATAATTTATATATTTCCTGTAATTCAGAAGTCTTCTTTCCTGTGTTGCTTGAGTCACTTATTGACATGGACATACGAATCAATTGTCTTATGATATAAAATGCCTTTTGAAAGTAGTCACACAGAGCATACAGGTTGGATACAGTGATGAAAATAATCAGTAATAGCCTCAAAATGAAGCTGACAGTACCATCGATATACAACCACGAAATAGTTGTTCATTAAGAAACGCTTCCTAGGTTCATTAATAAATAACAACCTGCAGCCAAAGCGCTCATTTGAATAAACAACCTCTGCCATACCGAACTTTATTCATGAATATTAGTTTCAAAGGAGATACAACAGCATCGATTGCTTAAATTATCCGTAAAACCTTTATTCAGCCAGGTAGTTTGCACTTTTCTACATATTAGACCAACAGCCAATGACTTCACGGACTAATGCCACATTTCGATCAACTGTCCTTAGCTTCCTTCCAAATTTCGCACTTCCAAACTACACATCGAAGTGTGAGGCGGTTAGGCATACACAATACACGTTTCAGCCATCTCAGTCCACGGAGATTTACAACTTTGCCTAGCACTCTATGCCTAATCTTAACATTGCTCGCTCGGTCATTTCAAGAAGCGTGAGCGATGATTCGAAGACATTTATGATCAGAAACTTTTAGTCTACGAATATCTTAACTGTGACAAACCAAGTTTCACAGCCGTGAAGTAGAACTACCTAACTTTTTTTATCCGTAGTCCAAGTGTTAGAGTAAACCAGTCCTGAAGTAACGCGTCCCATTATTGTTTCTCCAGGTGATCGGAAGACTGCGTTTTGTCAGCGTCTTCAATAAATAGGACTACGTCAACCGAACATTCCAGGTTGACGAGACACTGGTTCCAACACGGCTCAACTACATCGACTCGGACAACCAGGTAGTATCGTCAGCCTTGACACCTGGAGTGCGACTTTTACCTAAATATAGAGTGAGTTAATTTAAGCTTAAGTTAGATTTGATAAGCAAACCTCATGGTCGCAAAACAGTCATTTCAAGAGCTGAGGTAGCCAATGATCCACAGTATATTCGGTCGTAAACCATGTATGGTGAGAGAGAGGGTTGAATATACGATTAACAAATATTCAATATTTCAGCGCAGTGTTGCGTATGAAACGTAACTTTTCTGGCGATGGGGACGACAGTCGCTCTGTCCCAGGATGTCGTGATACTTTAATCAACAATCCTGCTGTTGTTTAACGAAAAGTTTGCCTTCTCAAACAGAAGACTTATCGATGGCGCTGGAGATTAGTTTCTCGCCGTGTGAGGCGAACTAGCGATCACGGTGCATTCTGATAGATACCGCTGGAATAAAAGACGAACTGAACCGTTTCTTGAAAACTGTCCTTCAAGACTTCATTAGGAGTTAATGGTCGCTGTCCCATCAACACAAAAAGTCTCACTCATACAAGCTTTCTACCAATGGCTCAGATGAGCTCATATGCCCTGCGGTAAGTGCCAAATGTAGGTTCAGCCTTCAAATCTGCACCAAGATCCGTCCAGGTTTTTCTTCCTACTTAAGCGTAACATGTTTATTGTAAAACTCGCGGTTAGGTGTAGTAGATCGACGAGTTTCAGGTTGTAAGGAGCCTGCTTACTATCTAATCGTGAATGTGCAGTGTATCATATTGGGAGAATATACACTCGTATTGTCCTGTGTTTATTACGTACATACGCAAAACAAGGTCACCAGCTGCTATGTTTATCAATTTCTTGGAGGTCTATTATCTAGGTTAAACAAATCCACAGTTCTCAATTATTGTGACAAGAAACGTGTACGTTTGATTGCAGTACGAGCAGACCTGCACGACATAAACTCTAGCTTCAACGTCTTAATAGACATATCAGTAACAACCTTCTAGTCAGTATTGTGAAATGGACCCAGTTAGTGTTAAATCGTCTCGTTTATGGTACACAGAAGTTTTAAAGATACACTTATCGTAAAAACTGATTACAATATTTGGGCCAACGTCACTATATCACAAACATAAGAACTCGAGAAAACAGCGAATGACTTTGAGTCGTGTCACCTAGTTTACAGACAACTATTACCGCCCTACCACATTTTCAAATGTAGTTTGGAACAGTAGTTAAAGCAGGTGTGAGTCCGCATCAACTACTTTAGTCCGGCCAATCTGCAAGCAATATCAACCCGTTAAATAAATCTAAACGCTAGCTGCAATTTTGTATTTTTGTTTACATCCAGCCTACCAACCACATGGATGTTAGAGTATCTGAGTACAAGTGCAGTCTCCAGTTTACTATTAAATGACTTTTTAATTAACCCTATTTTTAAGAAATGGCTGTGAAAATGATGTTTTTAAACAAAAATACTGTCAATTGGACGGTAGTTTTGATGAATCCTTAAAGGTATTAATCAAATTATAATACTTATTTACCTAACGGTTTCGTAATTTAGGTTGTGGTTTAATACTACACTTATTCCCAACTGTATAAACAAGCTTAAAAGAACCAGATGTTGAGTGTATGATCTGATAGCAATGAAGCCAGTTTGTATTAACTGGATCTTATATGTGAGACGAAAATGCTAATATTTAACGGCAACCTAATAATGCAAAACGTAGTTCCCAATAGTCGCTTGCAATCGAATTACATTGTTAAATGGTGACCTAGTGCTTAGGGAGTTTAATTTCCAGCCACTACGTTTCACGTTCGGACCTTGCACTACCAACTTTGGTTTGGGCAACTGAATAGCATCATTAGCCTTCACACTAAGAGTGCAGCTTATATCCAAGTACATGGGAAATCAGTTGTTTTATCCAGCGTAAAATAAAACAGATGAACTCATATGTACTGCTTATTTGAAATTTCCAATTGATGTGTAGGACTGCAATTAACAAATCTCTTTTAACATATATGAACCCTGTGTGGATTGCCTCAATATTTTCATTGTCACAGACGTTATAAAGAGATGGATGATAGCTAGCAGTTGGACGGGTTCAGAACACGTATTTCGTCACACTTGGAACGTTTTAGCTAGATGAAATAAGAGACTGAATCTTGGGTGCTCTTAGGTACATCAGAGAAATGCCAAATGGCAGTTAATACTTATGGAACATTTATAAATAAGCTAAATTTTTCATATAATGAAAAAACAACAATTGTTCCTTAGTTACAATTTTGTAACACTTTTCTTCTTTGACGCATCATGTGAGTGTACATTGTCTTCGAACCTTTACAAAAGAGTTGTGAAGTAATGAGAACTTACCTGGAATGTAAGTTATAAGTATAGTAACCAAAGCAAACCAATAATAGAGTGAACAATTTAGAGCGTTTGGAAGATTGAAGGAATATTCTTCTGTTTCCTTCAGTCTTTTTATACCACTTACTATTAGAAGAACCTCACCCTTAATCATTGATTACCCATGAACTTCTATGACTTACAGAAATCCCAGTTGGATACAAAACCATAAAACCTGAGTACCTTTTGAAATAAATGAATCATGAATTTTCCTTACCTTAACCAAGTTAGCAGATTTAACTTGACCCTACATATATCTGCTACATAATATGAATAACGAATCATTTCAGCAATAGACCACGATATAACAATGAGTGGGACACCCAAATTATCACGTGCAACCTAAAGTATTAGGTCACACTAAAATCACTTACTTCTGGGACTATATATAAAATTCCCCACACAACTAGTAACCGGGAAGATACCTGTAACATTGTTGTCATGACGGAAGATCTAACTAATCCTACTGCGGAATGGATTATCTACAGAAGTTAGTAGTTTTTTTCTCGACAAAAATACCTCAACGACAGCTAGTGATTGGAACAGGCGTAGAAAAATATCTACTTGAACACTGAACTCAAACCACTTTCTTTTGATGGATGACTCAAATATGTACAAAGATAGTATATAACCCCATCTGTAAACTATTAAAATATTATATCCGAACAAACCCCATTAGCTGAAATCCATTGTATATTCCCAGATAACTTTTCTTGATATTCATCCGTACTTTTGAGGTATCATAAAGAGATTTAAAGAATCCATTAACATCTATCGTCTCAAATATTTGGCAATAACAGTAAGTTAAATAAGGCCATGTCGACGTCTCGTTTTTTTAATTATTAAAAATGTATCTCAAATACATTTTACGCAAAACACTAAATTACTTTCAAATGGTATGGGTTCGCATGTGAGTTATGTTTGACAAAATTCTTATGATTCACTTAAGTCCAAATAAAGGGTGAATATTCAACGTGCTGTTCCCTTTCACAAGTCACTCTAAATGACGACAAACAGTGATCTGCATCACAGATCCTTGGACAATACCTACAAAAGATTTAAGTCAAGGAGGTTTAGTATCTCAAGATGGTACTGACTGGTGAGTGGCTTGAGTCACCATAAAATGTGGCTAGTCCTCTAAGGAAAATGGTGAGTAAACAAATATAACAGCGCAGTCTTTTCCACCCAGAGATCACGTTTTACAAACACAAACATGAACTATTTACCAGGTAGTGCTTAAACTCGTCAAAAACAGTGAAGCATCTCAACTTTTTGTAGTTTAATGGTGTCTTTTCCAGACATAATTTAGACAATGTTCATCGGGAAGATCGATTACACAGCAAGCTATTTGTTTCTATTATATACACTTATAGATGACTGGTAAGCACTTTGATGACGCCGGAAGTAGTAGTTAACTGACATTTCAGGGGTTTTGATTTATTACATTGTAGAAGTATCAGGAGACTGCTGTCTTTATAATTAAATAATCAGACATTACCAAATTAATGGTTTTGGAGTAGTATTAGAACTACTTTGGAGAATATTTACACTTGAATTAGACGAGAACATAGGAGTGAAGCCTTAGCAAATGTATTTTGTCAAGTCTATGTTAAATTGTTTGCTATATATACATCTCGACTCAAGATTCAGGGATAAAAAGTGACCAATCCATTTGTGAGTGCATTGTCAGTGAAGTTGGTACCTTCGATCCCTTACCAGAATAATTAACTCTAAGCAGAACTGGAAGATCAGTAATGTATACATTACTGATTTCACATAAGAAACTTTAAAAATTACTACCGTCATCTTGTGTAGTAAAGGGGTATTCACACATTAGCAACTAGAACAAAAGTCAAGATTCCAAGCTGTCTGTTTCATTTAACTTAATAAAAGTCTAATTACGTTTAGCAATCTTAAATCATGGCAGCTTCGCAATCACATGTATACACGTAAGATCTCGCCTGTAAAGCATACTGTCGTGAGATTTGCCGATACTTTGACCTATCGTAGGCTGATGCTGAGTGCAATAACGTTCTTCAGGAAAATCTGACGATCAAAGGCACATTAATACGCAGGAGTGCATATGAGAGGATTAGAATATAGATGATACTACGATAAAAAGCAATCAGTAAGACTTTGTCATTTCAAATTTTTGCCTTTATCATTCTTTCTAAGCATTATTTTGAAGAGGATTTTTGGCGAGACTATAATTTATGGACAAACCAATCCGATACAAGATAACAAGTCTTAGAATTTGGCGCGAACTTCATTCATCCGTCTGCCTAGATGGAGTCTTGGCATTTTAGCCGGTGTCAGTTCGTGATGACAACTTTAAATCTAGTTCCTAACCATAACATGAACTGTAAATCATAATTATAACTCCTCACACTGCTTTATAACCGTCATTTAGTCCTAGTTAATAGGTGGACATTCTCAGGATTACAATAACGTCGCACATGAATTATAGTCTTACAGAAGATGTAAAAGTACACAGCAGTAAGCTGGGATGAACTTCCTTCATTGCTTAGTTCGATTCATGTGCGAGGTGGCAAGACTATCGTGGGTACCTGGCGATTATACTGCTTCCAACCTTGGATTTGCCTAAGCGCTGTGCTTTGTGCTCGTCACGCTCAATGCACAATATCACCATGTCTAATCAGTAAACGAATGATTAGTTCGTGAGTCTTGTATTTCAGATTTTTGATCATTTTTGCTAAAAGGATTTGGATCACATAATATTCTCAGACCGTCATGAACTACGTGTCTCTTTCATCAGTTTTTCGCAGTGATTTATTGGACGTGCTGTAGTGACTCACATTTATCACGAGAACACGACTGGTTTAATAAAAACAAATATTATTATAACCAACTGTACCGGTGCTTGTTTTGATGCGCTCTTGTTTGACTGTGCTAATGACAGCTATATTGTGCTTCCATTCTTATTCTCACACTTTGATTGTAACTTCGCGCGAATTCGGTTACGTTCTGTAACCAAGCTTGTATCCTGGCACGATCTCGGTATCCTTTCGATACCACGAGATCGCCAGCGAATATATCTCGATTTGGTCCATTAATGGCCTTCTGATATTTGGCTTTTCGGGGATTTTATAGATTTCTTTGGTTACGTTCGACCTTCGCCTTCTGATCTACTTGGCACGTGTTTCTTGGTAGCGGTGGTCATAGTTAACCTCAACTCACACCACGCTACAGTGCTTGTGTTCGACCGATCTAGTGTTTCTTAACATATCTTTTCCTATTTTCAATGTTTTGCAACACTGTCATTTCTCCTTGCATTTGCTTAGAGTTTATCACCACAGAATAGGACCTCGTATCACTATTTAATGTACATCATCACAGTTCGCAAATACTTTATATTCGTGCGCAAGGGGGATGGGAAACTCATTTACCGGAATGGCGGTATCCGCGGCTTGACATTGTGGTGTTATGTCCAAGATGACGTTGGTCTCCGGCAAAAATTTGATTTCTTGGTTTTTAATGAGTATTTATGGGTGATAAACGTTCGTTTATTATTAAGTGTTGCAAATTGAGTCGAGAAAGCTCGAAAGCAAAGTGTATTTTCGTATTTCTGCCAACTTTCGCCCATACAGTGAAGCCACATGGTTCCAGTTTGAGGATATGGAGTAGTCGGCTGTCTTAATCAGTAAAGTCTCTTAGAAATAAAGTATATCGGTTGTCAATCAGTGACTGAAAGTTTATTTTATTATGTTAAGTTTCTCAGACGGATCCAAGAACAGTTTGCATTCACATAGCCGAGAATACTTGCCGAACGATCTCTGAACAAAAGGTATTGGCTGCAACGTAATGCAAACTTTGGTATTTATAATCGCGACTGATTTGGGCTTAAACAACGTAAATAACCGCATTGGTGAAAATTCGAACTGAACTATGTTGTTGAAGCAAAGTTTTTAACGATTGAAACCATTTTATCCATAACTTTTTAGGTTTCGGATCTTCAAATTTCATTCTAGCTGGTCTGAGAAAAGTTAGAAAGGTTTACTTAAGCTATGGTGAAGTCAGAGTAAAATAAATAGTGTACTGTAATATATCTGAATTGATTTGAACTTGTCACACACACTATTGCAAACAAGTGGAATCGAACTACGCTATCTACTCATAATTACCTTAGTGCCCATTAGATATTTCAGTTGATTCGCATAGATAATAAAGTTGTTGGAACTCGACTAATGTTTAATTGGTTCAAATATGCAGAGAAGTTTGACTTAACATGAATATTGGACAAATTTAAGCTCCATATCGCCAACAGGTCGAATTATCTATGGTCTACAAAATGTGCAGTATAAATATTTTATTCTGGTTAGCGTTTTTTAGCGAGTTGGTTTTCTACAGAATGGAGTCTCTAACCGCACGCCCAACCCCCCTCCTTTATGTGGGCTTGGGACCGACAGTAGCCCTAGAGGGGCTCCAGGCGGGGTTGTATGGTAAAAATAACTCGTCTAAAATGCAGTCATAATGCGGTAATTTGATATTCGTTGAGCAATATGTAAAAGAATGGGAATCTAAAAAATGTTGATATTTGTGAAGAACGGTTCATGAGAATATCATCTGATGACCCAGTCAGTCTCTGATTAACAAAAACACTGTTAATTATTTGTACAGATATTTGTTAACCTGTGAAAGTCGTTGATTAGCTGAATTCAATGATGACATACATCAGAAGGTAAAAGTGTAGCCGTGTGGTTCTGGTCATTTTCATGATATAATTTAATTTCTCACTGACTGTCTTAATTCTTATTTGACTACCTACTGAACTTCGGAGGTGGATTGAACCGATCTATCTATCGAGGGAAGAATTGCGTCACTGGCTAATAAGGGGCATTTTGCTCTCTCTGATAACCAATTAGTGTTGCATTGATATTTCGTAATTTGACTGTGCTACGTTTTAGAGTGCAAAATGTATACCTTTTGTCCCTTTGACTGAATCAAGTTGGGTTAGATATCTGCAGTAAGCAAGGAACCCGGAGTTTGTTGCAGATACCCACTACACGTATCTTTATGTTCACAGTTGACGCCACTGTAACTAAAGCTTGTGTTTTCCTTTGTCTTCAAATTTTCATTTTTAACGAACTAAGAACGTGAAGAAAATACCAGAATTTCTGTAATTATTGCCCTTGTAACACTTATCACGTGATTCTTCAAGATTGAGACGATCCAATAGAAAATAAGCATGTATGCATTTTGGTGACTCCCAGGTGAACAACATGATCAAAAGCATTGACTTCATGATTTTTTTTAGGATTACGGCGGCAAATGACAAATAAACCCAAACCTTTTATAGCCAGTGAGGACATAAATTTTCGCGCCGAACAAACAATGAGGTCCTCTTTTGTTGCCCAGAGTACGATTAAAGTTTTGAAATAACCTAATTGACTTTTGCATATTATTTTTCAATTAGATGCTAATTATTCTTATGAAGGACTGCTCAGGGGTGATATGGACCTTGTTTTCAGAAAAATACGTTAATCAACCCAAAGGCACGAAGATTTGTACAGTGTAATCCATTACGTTCACGACTACCAAATTAGGCTATTACTACAATACTTCAGTGCCTGACTGGTGCCTGAATACTGTCGGTTTATACTTAGTAGCTCTTGTATAGGTGACGAATCGAAAACCGAAGGATGGGGGGAGAAAATTTAGAAGAGAGGTATATAGGAATTGACTGTGGACATAGTTACACGGTTTGATACGTTTTTTGTACAGGGAATTATAGATGTAATCACAAGTTTCGTTTCAAGCTCATATATGAGCTACTATGCTTTAAATCTTATGGTGATCTTCAATAGTTATGAACTAAGAAATCTCATTAGATTGGTCGCGATAGACTATTGTGTGTCCGACACAGTGGTGACATCTTCGTAAAAACGTTTCTATCATTTGAGTTGGTCAATGATTATAATATTAGAAATGTACATCTTAAGCTACTTCACTCTTTAAATTAATAGGGTTTTAAAAGAATCCCAAGACATTAGATGGGCTGCCAGTGTACTAGAAATTAAATGCCTCTAAAAATATAATTGGGCCATTTAATGTGTGAAATATTGTTAAGAAACAACCAATATTTAAACATAAGACTACTGACTACTTCTTAAAACCCTGGATAGTACTCTTGCCACAGGTCCTGGATTCGGATCTCGCGAGACGGGATCGTGGATGAACACTGCAGAGGAGTCCCAAAATAAGACGAAACGCCGTCTACTGCTTTTAGGTTACCCATAGTGGTCCAGCTTTAATCGACTCATGATCTCAACTAGTGAGATTATCTATGTGTATTGTACTCCTCCTCTGTTCCACCCACTCTGATAAACGTTTGCCTATCGACACACCCTACTTATGCTCACACTTTTAGAAACGCATGCACTGTGCTTTAGTAATTCACAGCACTCCACATACAACTCACTCGCAGTCCATAAGTTGTAGCCGCTCAATATGCCTGTGATATGACGCTTGTGAGGAATGTTTTCCGACAGGATATGAAACACAGAGCTTCAAGTAAGGTGTAAAACTTTGTCAAGCAAACACTTTGAAAGAGCCTCACACCACAAAAGGGTTCAGGGTGAGGTCACTGGCAAACAGACATTGATACTGAGTGCAAAGATTTCAACGAAAACATGTGGTGCAGAATATTTTGTCTGTCTCAAGCTGTCTTTGGTGAGGATAAGGCAAGTATTCAGTCTTATTGAGGCTGTTTTAATAGGCTTGATGCTCAGACCAATACTTCTAATCTATATTTACCTATCTATTTTGCCTATGACATCGTAAATCAGGCTTTCGTGTTATTCCCTAGCGGATGACATACCATGAAAATATGATAATAATGGAAAACAATGGACGGTAGACAATAGTCTTCAGCGTTTATAAACGCTTTCCTCCTTTCCAATGGGCCTTCAGTTTTCATAAACGACCTCTCCGTTTATGCCTACAACTTCCCCTCATTATTTGCATACGTTCCACCTCGTTACACACCAAAAGCTACTATCATATATTACTGTATTCTTTTATCTAAAGAATCTTTAGCTACAATTTATTCTAGCGTTGGCAGTTAGTGTGAGATTTTTCTACTGGTCTTAGTAAATTTCCTCGTAGTTCTCGATAAAACAGGTACACATCTGATCGAGAAATAGTTGTCTACGCCCAGCCTAGACCCGTTTTGGAGTATGGAATAATGTATGCGAGTTCCTGCTCTCACTGAAAAGTGGTCATTTCAAACGACCGATTAAATATTTTGGTAAGCAAAATGAAAAAAGTGTACTATTGTGTTTGTCAAAATTAACATGCACATTGTCACTTCCGCTGTTAAAGAAAATTTCCAGTAATCTCATGCCGTTCTTTATATTAGGAAGCATGAATTCTGTCTGCCATTATTCGTTTAGATCCAACTGTAATCTTAGGGAGACTGATGATCCCTGATGGGCTAGGTCCCGTGTCACCTAGAATCATGATTAGGGATACAAACGCTGACCTCCCACAGAAGTGAAATGTAGTTGCAAATGTCAGATTACTGAAAAGCGATTGATGTCTCATATGTCAGGTTCCTTTTAGTGGTGACTCACTTCTACGGATCAAGTGGCAATGCAGCTAATGGTTTAGATAGTTCGTCATCGCGTGCAG